GTTACTTTTGAATTCTACAGTAATTTACTTCCTTGTTGCAGAAAAAGAAATTTGGGTCAGACTTTTGTTGCTCGATCAACATCAATAATAACATGTCAGTTAAAGTGTAACATGAAACTTATCAAGAAGACATGATTGATCATCACATTTATGGCACTGTCTTAAGCAGCTGTGAAATATTTCAGCCTGAAAAAATTTCAGGCTTAAATTTCACACCTTACTGCTTAAGTTGTTGTCAGTGGTATGTAAGAACAGCAGTTGTACATGTAAAAGTACACATCTGAGAATATAGTACTAGGGCTGGAAGAGTCAGTGTTGTAATGTGTGCAATTACTGTATGTACAAAGGCTGCCCAAGATCACAACATCTTTTTTTTTTTACTTTTAAATATGCAAACGTTCAGCGATTCGTGACATATATGGCATATACTATTACATAACAACTGAATTTGGATCAAAGACGAGATGTTGAAGTTCCACTTCAGTTCACTTGCTATCCAATTCCGTCCACAAGGGCTTTGCTAATGACAACACATTTCCATGTATTTCGAGACTGCTCCACTCGCAAATTCAAAAATACATTTAACCTTGTCAAAAATGAGTAACTAATAATTAGCTCAACGGGGGTGGTCAGCAATGATTTGTCAACAGCTTTACCAAAATGCTCCCCAAGTCCCCTCGTACTTTATTTGTCAAACCCACCAAGAGGCACGTTTTTGTTTCCATCGACCTATCAAATTAAGTCGAGCCGTGTTTACAAAATTTTAAAAAACAGCTGAGGAAATGTAGTTAGTTTCTATACCAAAAAGTGATCTATGCCAGAGCAATGACTTCATCGTGGACATGGTAGGTTTTAAAGTATACTCAATGCTTAATGTGAAAATTTATCCCCAAAGCTGACACTTATCTCCATGTGAAATGAAACGTTAGCTGGGCCTAAGCTTACATCGGTCGTAATTACTTTGTAGCTTGTTTTATTTATTCTTACACCATTGCATTCCCTGTGATACAAACCTAATTATAAATTCAAATTGTTGTAACACAACACCTCCATATGCTGCAAGGTGAGAGTCACGTTTTTGCGTAGTCAAATTTGGTTGTTTTGTAATAGTATAAGAGGTATATGTCACATAAAATTAAATATAAAGATAACTCCTTGCATTGCGAGTTTGGGCAGCCTGTGGTGTGTACTGTTGTCTTTCGCCTTCGTGGCTACCTTTTGTGGAAACAATCATATCAGGGAATCACAAATCCTTCTCAGAAAAAGGCTCAGTTACTTCATTTAGAGGGCATGGAAGATATTTACGAAGATCTTCCAGTTACTGGACCAACTGAATGCTGACGAGGATAATGAGTATGTGGTGTGTCTTCAAAAGCTAGATGCTCATTTTTGAGGCGAGGAAAATGTACTGTACGAGTGGTATGTCTTTTGTCGACTTGCACCAACATGAGGAGACCTTTGACAAGTTCATGGTTCGTTTACAGAAACAAGCTCGTCATTGTAATTTTGGTGCAACTTTGGAGGAAAATTTGCTGACCAATTGATTGAAAAGTTGCCTATTGTTGAGCTAAAGAAGAAGCTATAATATTACTCTGGAAGGTGCAATGGATAAAGTTCAAAAGTGGGAAGCCTTGCGTGAGCAGGCAAGTCAAATGGTCAGGCCAAGCCAAGAACCTGGAGTAGGCACTAAATACAGTTGAAGAGAGTCCTGGATGTGGAATCAAAGGAAAAATTGTTTGTTTCAACTGTGGTAAAGAAGGTCACTTTGCTCAAAGTAAAAGTTGTCCAGCCTGAGGTCAAAAGTGCAGCAAGTGTGGTAAATATGACCATTATGCTAGCTGTTGCAAAGGGTGAAGGAACCCAAAGTCTAGAAAACAAGGCACCACCCAACAATGGGGAGGCAGACAGCAGCGTTGTGGTAATGGGAGACAGGCCAATCAAGTTGAGGATCATTGTAACATTCTTTGCTTTTACTATTAATGGAGGAACAGACTTGTGCTCTGTCAAATTCCGCAGAGCCAGTGATCTTGGTGAACATTGGTGGATTCTGCAGAGATGTGTTAATTGATTCAGGTTCTGCAAGTAACCTTATTAGTAAAGATACACTGCAGCAACTGAAGTATCAGGGGCTAAAGATTGAATTCAAACCTTGCACCAAGAGATTCTATGCTTATGGGGGTCAAGAGCTTGGAGCTGAAGGACAGTTTCAGTCACAAGGTTCCATATCAAAAACAAAAGTTGTGGCAAATTTCACTGTTGTTGTCCGGTTGCTGTTTGCTGGGATATTTGACTGCCACAGATCATGGAATCCTTCGTTTGGATCCCATGGGAACTCTCGGGACAGCTGACTGTAACACTGTTGATGATACCTTTGTGAGAGAACTCAAAATACCCCAGTGTGTTCCAGGGAACTGGAAACTTCAAGCTACACATTGATCCTAGTGTAACTCCAGTCATTCAAAATATGCGTTGAGTACCTTTTTCTCTAAAGGACAAAGTAACTGCCAAGGTTGATGAACTCCTTGAAAAGGACATAATTGAGAAAGTTGAGGGACCTATAGTGTGGGTAAGCCCAGTTGTTGTTGCTCCAAAACCATTGGGGGACATAAGGTTATGTGTTGATATGCAAAGAGCTACATGAAATGAGGACATTATTCAGGAAAGATTGCCTATACGAACCATAGATGAAGTCCTTGAAAGCCTTAATGGGAGTGGTGTTTTCTTGAAGTTATATTTAAGGTGAGGTTTTCACCAAGTTGAGTTGTATCCTGAGTGAAGGGATGTCACTGCTTTTGCCACCTGTGATGGTATATTCCGCTGCAAGCATTTGAGTTTTGGTGTTAATGCCGCACCAGAGAAGTACCAGCTTACCATCATCCAGTCAATGGCAAGTCTACAAGGAGTGGCAAACATGGCAGATGATCTTATTGTTCATGGTCGAGACACTGAGGAACATGATAAGACTGTACACAGTGTGTTGCAATGTCTTAGTGAGAAGCAGCTGACTTTGAATGCTGAGAAGTGCATCTTGCGAATGACTAAAGTGGTATTCATGGGTCTTTTGCTTAGCAAGCATGGAGTCGGCCCTACTGAGGAAAAAGTCAGAGCTGCTGTAGAAGCGAGTCAGCCTCAGACACATTCAGAGGTTCGTAGCTTCTCAAGTCTCGTTTGATTTAGTGCCACCAGGGTTTATACCTGATTTTGCTACCACTGCTGATCCCCTCAGAAAACTTGTAAGAAAAGGAGAATCGTTCGTGTGGGGCAAGGAGCAGGAGCAGTCATTTCTGAGATTGAAGAGTCAAGTTGCAAGTGCACCAGTCCTAGCTTACATTGTATATGTACTTCGATAAGGACACGCCTACCTGTGTTATTGCTGACACAAGTCCAGTTGGGCTTGGTGCTGTGCTGGTATGAGAAAAGAATGGGTAAAGCGGTGCTATCTGTTATGCCAGTTGTAGTTTGAGTCAAGTGGAGTGCTGTTATAGTCAGACAAGGAAGGAAGCACCAGCCTTAGTCTGGGCGTGTTAACTCTTCTACGTCTACTTGTACAGGCTCCCACTGTTTGATCTGGTGACAGACCATGAAGCACAAACTCTTACATTGTAAAGTCATCTACTCAAGAAGTCTAAATCTTTTAGTCAGAATAGAGCGCTGGGTTCTGTGCTTACGACTGTAAAACTATCAAGTTTGCTATGTGGCTTCTAGAAAAAACATCGCAGATGCCCTTTCCCGATGGACCAAGAAAACTGCTTCAGATCAGTCCATGGAAAATGAGGGATACGTTTGCATGACAATCAAAGAGATTGAATGGGTCTCAGCACAAGACTCGGAGTTGCAAGCAGTCAGGAATTGCTTGATCAAAGGAAAATGGAACATTTCTCCTAAGCAGTATTTGCCAGTGCACAATGAGTCGACTTTTGCCAGTCATGTGATTTACGGGGATATATACCCCAAGCACTTCGCAAGAGAGTAATTGTCAGTTTGAATTGGCACAAGAAGGGCACCAGGGAGTTGTAAAGACAAAGGAGAGACTTTAAGAACAAAGGTCTGGTGGGCTGCTATGAATTGTGGTGCTGAGAGAAGATGTGTAGTGTGTTACGGGTGTCAGGTGGTTACCAAGAACGTTCCACCCCCACCATTGAAATCATTTCCCAACCAACCATTGGAAGAAGTAGCTGTGTATCTAATAGGTCCGTTACCTTCTGGAGAACATTTGGTTAGTTCTTGTTGATTACTACAGTCGTTGGGTGGAAGTTGATGTTATCCAAGCAACCTCCAGTAAAACTATCATTCATTGCTTGGATGCCCAATTTGCGAGACATGGATTACCTAAAGGTCTGCATACCGACAATGGCTCAAATCTGAAGTCCATGAGAGCAGCCCATACAGAAGGAAAGAATTGGAGAGAGGAGTTAAGCAGGTTCTTTCAGGCGTATAGGTCCATGCCACAGTTAGCTACAGGAAAGAGTCCTGCCAAGGTACTGTTTAGAAGAAAGACTAAAACTAAAATGCCTGAGCTAGTCAATGTTGACAAGGAGGAAGTAGAAGTACTGTAAGTGACCAAGTCTTCCGTGATCGGGACACCTAGGGAAAGCAGTCCAACATGGACTATGTTGACAAGAGGTTTCATGCCAGAGACTGAATTATGAGAGAAACCTGAGAAAGAAAAGTAAGCTTTCACTTTGCTATGAGAAGGAACCATATCAGGCGATATCTGGTCATGATCACCGCAAGGTGTTCAGGACAAGCGCAATCTTCAGCATGTTAAGCCCTTCAATATGCCAGATCTGAAAGAACAAGAAACGCCGCTACAGGATACTGAACCACTCACTGAACCTAAGCCAATTGAGGCACCACCTATGGCAGAGGATCCAGTACCAATGGCTGAATCACCACCAGAAGTTGTACCTTCTGCTATACCTACAGCTGAGCAGCCTTTGAGGAGATCTAGCAGAATTACGAGCCATCCAAAAAGGCTCTGAATGATTATGTTGTGTACTAAAACTAGTGACATTTGCATTGTCATATGACTATTTGTTGTTATTGCATGAGTGACGTTGGAACGTTGTTTTATGAACTGAACTGCAAAGGCTACATGTATGTTTATGCCTAGTGTGACTTCTGTTTTGAACATTTGGATTTGAACTGAACTTTGACGGTGATTAAAGAAATGAGAAGTTTGTAATATTTCTGTCTTTCGAGATTAACTATCTAAGTGAAGAAAGAGGGTGGATACACAGCTGTAGTACATTAGGATAGGACAGTGGTTGTAAAGTCATGTAAAAGTATGCATCCCAGATATATAGGACTAGCACAGGAAGATTGAGTGTGTTGAAACGTGTACTGTTGTCTTTCAGCTACGTGGCTGACTTTTTTGGCTTACTTTTGCGGTTCACTACAGTTGTGTGAGTACAACTGCAATGATCAATCATGTCTTCATACCTTTCTCCGCAGTTCAAATATATGACCTTTCAATGTCACTTGTATGAAACTTTAATATCAAAAATAGTGTTCGTGCTGACTAAAGATGCCAACTTGATATTTTTGGCCTTCCAATCTGGGAAATGAGGCCCAAAACAGTGAAAAAACTCTGAGCAATGTCTTTTGACAAAATGAAAGGCCACATGCAAAAATTTGAGTAAAGTTTGTGTTTGATAAAATTGAAATGACTAAAAATGTTGTTAAGAATAGTGTTTATAGCCCTGACCTTTCTGCAGTTGTAGCAGATTAAAATGTATGTTGACTAAAATGACTAAAGTTTGACTAAGTTGCACTGTAGTGCATCTACATGTCAGTAGATTTAGTATAAGAACCACTGCATGTCAGACTTTTTATGTGTGGTTTTATAATTATATCTTGCAGAAAAGCCCCAAAGTATTAGTAGACAGCAATTTAATGTAGCAGTCTATGGATTTCCAGTGCAGGAAGTAATTGTTAAATGGCCAACACTGCAAGCAAATGTGACAAATGAACTCTTTGTTGGTCGAGTTCCTGCTGACGATCCTTTTGATTGTGTATTCAATAGTACTGCACAATACAGAAGAACCCCAGAGTTTCAGAATGAAATGCTGTCATGCCATATTGGAACAGATGTCCTTGGAAAGTTGTTTCAAGGGGATGAGCTGTGGGATCATTGCAGTAACCCTTTTTATACGTGTTCCGTACTATGTGTCAAGGTGGTAGTTAAGAATTCATTTGGTGTAAGTGAGAGTGACCCAGCACGTTGGAATTTGGTACACGAGAGTGAGTTTTTAATATTTATTATTTTTTACATAATGTAGGGACAATGTATTCAATCAAAATTGTTCAATCATGTATTTAGAGAATAGTCCAAGGAAATTATGCATGCTGATTTGTTAAAAATTGTGCGTGATAAATTGTGCGTGATAGTTGAGGAGGGCACAGCCCTCCTCAACTATCACGCATAGAAATCGAGAGTGAATAATCTAATTGTTTTAGTATAGTTCTACTAGTCGTTCAAAACTTTATCTAAATACTCTTCACAGACACCTTGAAATTAAATGCCAAGAAGTGGCCATCATTTTGTTAACAAGCGCACATTGTGGCGTAGTCAATCAGAGAACAACATTCGTGATAGAACGCTAGTCGATTTATTCTAAGACTTGATGGAAACACAGACCTAGCACAAGCTGTTGACATACAATCATGTAATGATGGCATCAGCAAATAAAGAGAATTATGTTGTTTCCTTTTTCCATTGCAGTATTTTCTAAAACAAGCTACATGTTCTCCGTGCTTCTAGTGAGTTATGTTGTATAGCTCTAACACTCTTTCAAGTTTGGGAGAACTTGAAAAATCTGGGAATGCTAAGAATTGCAGTATTTTTGTAATCTAAATACTACTAAGGTGGAAAGGACAAGAGGATTATGGAAATCCACTCACCTATTTTGTATTAGTGGCCTATACTGACATGTATCTCCTTGCAAGGCAATTTCAAGCCAGTGATCGCTCTCTCGGTGGCTGACAGGAGCCCTGTGTATGACTGGAAGTGAACTGGGTTACACTGACGACTCGACTCAGTCCATAAACCCCCAAAAACTTGGCCATTATCCAGCCATTTTGATCTCACGCTAGGTCAACAACCCATATACATTTATCTAGCCTCATTTGAGTGATGTATTTGTTGTTGTAGAAGTGATAGTAGTAGCAGTAGCAGTAGCAGTAGCAGTAGCA